GTTTCTGTGAAAAACTGAGACAGTCTCTGGGCTCCAGCATATCATAGTTTCTCTACTTCACATGAATTTCTTTTCAGTGGGAGGAGACACATATAGGAGATTCATGAGAGAATGGTTTGATGTCTGTTCAGATATTAGTCAATAATTATACAGTACTTATTTTCAGAATGATATTTGCTTACCTCACAGGTCTCTATGTCCTTGGCTTAGTTTTGATACCATTTTGATCTCTATCTTTTATGACCTTTAGGTTTGAAATATTTTATGCATTCAATAATTGTTTATTAGCAGGTGAATATTTGTTGTCAGTTTTCTAATTCCCATACCGTATCTACATTTCAACATAAAAACATGAATAGAAAAGGTCATATTTGTTCCTTAAGGCTGATATTCTCAGAAGATTTAAAATTTAAGTGCTCTCACATATATATTGTGGTAGAGTCTTATAGCCCAGGCTGGCCTCAAACTCACTAAGTATCAAGGATAACTTTGAACTTGTGATCTTCTTGTCTCCAGCTCCCAGCTTTAGCTGGGCTTATGGGTATGTGCTACTCTGCCTGGTTTATACAGTACTGTAGAGTGAACCCAGAGTTTCGAACATGGACTTAAGGGGATAGCGTAGACCCAAATGATAGCAGAGATATTGATTCTGAGTATAGTATTTAAAACCCTGTCGATCTTTGTGGATAGCTATAAAATTTATCTCCTCTCAGATATTATATCATTCTCCCATTTTACTGATGTGCACATATGCAAAACATTCACTTTTGAACTTAAAGTTGCAAACAATTAGAAAGTTCTAAGAAAATGCTGTGTACTTTAAAATGTTTTTTTACTTTTTAAAATTAGCAGTAAAATTATTTAATAGATAGTTATGTAAGTTTTAACTCATATAAATCACCTAATCACCACCACAATCAGGGTGTACAACTATTCTATTAACTCCTCCCCTCCAAACTATCTGGTACTTTCTTTTTTGTGCCACATCCCCTGTCCCTGGCTATCCTGCTGTATCCCTTGGTAACTACTGATGTCTTATAAATGAAAGCTCTACCCTGTGTGTTACTTTTTGAGACTGACTGCTTTCACTCAGCAGAATGTCTTTGAAATTCATGTAGGTTGTTGGATATACCAAAGGATAGTTGTGATTTATTGCTTAACAGTATTCTATTATGTGGCTGTACTACATTTTATCTCTTCATATGTTGAAAAACATTTGGGTTATTTCCAGTTTCAGCTGGTTATGAATAGAACTGATACTTATGTACAATTTTTGTGTCAACACAGTTTTATTTCTCCAAGTTAAAAACAAGGTTTGGGGTTGCTGAGTTTATATATGTATGTTTTTATTTTAATTTTTAAAAAACTTTATTTAATATGTATGAGTGTCATGCCTGCATGTATGTAAGTGCATCCATATTGTATAGTGTTCACGGAGGCCAGAAACAGGCATTGAGTCCCCTGGAACTGGAGTTACAGATGGGTTTTAGCTGCAATGTGGGTACTGGGATTCAAACCCAGGTCTTCTGCAAGAGCAGCCAGTGCTCTTAACCACTGAGCCATCTCTCCAGCTCGTATATGTTTAACGTTACCAGAAATTACTAAATTTGTCAAAAATGGCTGTCTCATGTTGCATCCTTCTGGCAATGTAGCTGTTTTCCAGCATTTGGTATGTAAGCATTGGAATTTATAATCAGCACAACAATTTTGCTGTATGTTACTTTTTATTATAAATATTTTGGCTTTAATTTGGATTTCCCTAGTGGCTAATAATACTAAACATCTTTTCATGTAGTCAGTTGTCGCCCATCTGTTCTCTTGGTTAAAGAATGCTTGTTCAAATCTTTTGCTCATTTTAAATTGGGCTTTGTGTTTTCTTACTGTTGAGTTTTGAGAATTCATACACTGAACATACCATTTGCTAATAATTTTATCCAGCCTGTAGTTTGGCCTAGCAGTTTTTAGTTTGATAAAGTCTAATTTATAACTGTTTTTGCTTTTGTAGCTGGGCCTTTTGTGTTATGTCTAAAAATTCTTTGCCTAAATACATGCCACAATGACTTTAAACTTTATGTCCCAAAAGGCTTGTAACTTTGCATTAGATACGTAATCTGTTTTGTGTTAATTTTTTGGGTGAAGTATGAAATTTAGGTTTAGTACACATTTTTGCATATGAATGCCTTAATTGCTACAGTATTCTGTTTTAGAAAAACTATCCTATCTCTGGCAAATTGTCTTCCCACCTATATCAGAAATCTATTGGCTATATTTGTGCGTGTTTCTCAAGTATTTTATAGTATCTCTTCCTTCTCCAGTATCATACTGTTTTAATTATTGTAACTTTTTAGTACATTTTAAAATCGGGTGCTATAATTCAGTTTTATTCTTCAAAATTGTTTGACTATTCTAGTGTCTTTGCTTTTGAGAATCCATTTGTACCTTAAAAAATATCAGGAGATGGTGATTGATTAGAATCATCTTAAATCAACAGATCAAATTGGAAAATTGATGTCTTTACTAGGCTGAGTCCTCTGGTCCTTGAATGTGATGTATTTCATTTGTTTACATCTTGGAGTTCTTTTATAGTCTTGTAGTTTTTAGCATTCACCTCTTAATTTTCTTGTGTGTGGATTTGGGGGTTTCTGTATTGACAAATATATCTGTAAATATGGGCAGGTTTGTCTCCTTTTTCTTAACCAGAGGGCATTTTTCCTGTTTTGCTTTCTTGATGTTGCATAGAATTGTTAAAAAATAAAATAACATTGATTTGTTTGCAGTCACAGGGAGAAGGCATGCAGTCTTTCACTGTTATGAATGCTCACTGTAGAAATGCCTCCTTTTTTATTTGGGCTGATATTGCTCTTGTTTAGCTTCTTAGACACTAAGTTATTGATTTGAGAATGTTCATTTTGTCCGTATAAGCATTTAACATTGTAAATGTTCCTCTGGCCATAGATTAACTGTTCTTTAGCACTTCCTCCTTGACCTGTAGATTATTTATAAGTACTTTGATTTCCAAGTTTTTAGAAGCTTTTCTGCTATTGATTTTTAGTTTTAAATCATTATGGTCAGAAAACATATTCTGTGTTAATTCAGTTTCTTTAAATTTGTTAAGATTTGCTTTATGACCTAAAATACTATATAAACTGTCAGTATTCTCTGTGCACTTAAAAAGAGAGAAGACTCTGGTTTTACTGGATGGAGTCTTGTATAAATGTCTGTTCAATCCAGTTGGTTGATAGTGGTAGTAAATTAAATTCTCTCTTGTTGACTTTCTTCACTTTTGTGAGTTGTAGTTTTGTTACATAGCTTGCTTAGGACAGGTGTCCCCAGCTGTAATTGTAGATTTGCCTGGATCTCCTTGCAGATCAGTTAGCTTTGTTTCAGGTGCATATAAATAGAGGATTTTATCTTGATAGTTGACCCCTTTATTGTTATGTTGTGGTCCTTAGACCTGGTCAGTTTCTTTGCTTTGAAATTTCTTTTAATAATAATATAATAGTCCAGATTTCTTTTGGTTATTATTTCCATGGTTAATCTTTTCCTATCCTTTTACTTCTAACCTGTTTATATTTAAAATGAATCTCTTGTTAGTGGTATATAATTGAGTTGTTCTTTTAAAAATTTTTCTGACAATCTTGATGTTTTTTGGGCATTTGCATTTACTACAGTTACCTATGTACTTAAATTTAGTTCTGTTTTGTTTGTTTTCTTTTTGTTCCCATTCTAATTGTCCCCCCCCCCTTTTTGAGGACTTATTTCACAAGGTTTTGGGGGGTTGTTTATTTGTTAGTTTTATCTTTTTGAGACACAGTCTCCCTGTAGCCTGGCACTCACAGAGATCCACCTGCCTCTGCCTCCCAAGTACTGGATTAAAGGCATGTGCCACCATGCCCAGCATTTCATGAGTTTTTAAGATTCCATTTTAATTTTATCTATTATGACCTTTTTTTCTTGGCTCTTTTCAAAAATTTTTTTCTCTTAGTTCTCACCAGATTGACTATGATATGTCTGGACATAGGTTTTGCGGGGGTTATTTTATTTGACTTCTCAGATTTTCTTGACTCTGATATACTTGTATGTTTCACTTAGTTTGTCACATTTTCAGCCATGATTTGCTCAAATACTTTTCTCCATCATGTGAATCTCTTTTCAGAATGGGAAAGACACAAATGTTAGCTCTTTTATTGTCCAAAAGTTCCTTGACGTGCTGTTTGTTCTTTTCCCCCTTGTTTTAAAAATCATTTAGATTTTTGGTTGCCTTCAAGTTTACTAACTTTCCCTTGTCATCTTTGCTTTGCTTTTTAGGCCTACCCAGTGACTCATTTCAATTATTCTATTTTTCAGTTCAAATATTTCCATTTGATTGTATGGGTTCTCCCTTATACATGGGTTTTCTTTCCATGGTTCAGTTCCCCTTACTCAACTGTAGCCTGAAAATATTAAGTGGAAAGCTTAATAAATGAATAATTCATAGAATGTGTGTTATGAGTAGTATGATTTAACTGCTGAGTCATCTCTCCAGCCCCAGTAACATGTTTTTTTTTTAAGTATAACCTAATAAAAAATTATAACATTATTTTGCATGTTAAAAAGGAAAACAAAAAAAAAACCAACAAAAAAAAAACAGGTATTACAATGAATATGGTGCTTTACCTTGAAAAAGACCTGAAGTTTGCCTGTGGAAGCAGGCCGGGAGAAAGCTGCAGACTGTGATGGTGAAGTAGTGGAAGGGTGTCAGGAGTCTGAAGGAGAGTTAAGGCCAGATGTGAGTGGGTATGGCTCATAACACAGGTGAACTAAGGTAGGTGGGAAGTATGCAGATGAGGCAGATGCATGTGCTGAGAGCAGAGGGCCCTGGGCAGCAGCTGGGTGCAAGTTTCTGTGTTGAGCTAATGTTTAATGGCACGTGAGCAAGAGGGATTTATAATGTGTTAATGTTGTTCTCCAAAGTAAGAAATATTGAAAACAAACTGGATTTTTCAAAATCAACATCCTAGCACAAGAAGACCGAGTTGAGGCATTTTTGCCCTTCTGAGAGCTGGTTTTACAACATACCGCTGGAGAGGGATCTCTGCAGCTGGCCTGGGTGAGTGTGGAAGCCTCTCCAGAGAAGACGGCATAGAATTGAGACTTGGGGGATGACTATAGTATTTTACTGAGTGAGTTTAAGTAGAAGATGGACATTCCAGACAGGGAACAGCAGCATGTGAAAAAAAATGCAAAAGTAAGTCCACTGCTTTCCAGAAACTTACACATAGTTCATTATGAAACCAGTTAGAACTTGGAGGGAAGGAAAAATAATTCTCTTTAAAAATAAATCTAATGGTTAGGCAAGGGCCAAACAACTACTTGGAAGGATTTACATTTATCTCTCAAGGGGTACTCACCTCTGAGGAATTTGAGCATGGAATTGTGTTTCCTAATATTACCTATTTGGGTAGGATCTATATGATATTTCTGGTGACCCTATGGAAGATAGTTTGCAGCAGACCCTCCTTGGGTCTGGAAATCTAATGAGGTTCAGAAGAACAAGTGTTTATCTGACAGTGACTTGACCATTGAGAATATTTTAAAAGCCTCAGATGTTTGCTGGAAACTTTGTCTTTTCATAATCATTACTATAATTCTGTTTCTTGGTTTTCAGGGCTAAGGCCTTGAGAATTAGCCTTCTGAATGGTGATGAGTCAAGTGAACTTACAACAACTTTATAATAGCTAGTTTCACCATTATCTTGATTTTCATAGTCTAAAAATGGTGAGGCAAATCATCGTTGAAGAAATATTAACATCTTAATGTACATTCATTAGGAAATAACTGCATGGGCCAAAAGTCTGTTTGCCTGCTGGATCCTATTTGATTTTGATGTTTATTACAGCGTAGGATGCTGTTAAAATTCATAATCTGATTGCAGATACCAAAGGCACACTAAAACTAGTTGTAACCTGGAATATCAGGTTCAAGCATAAACTCCTGCCTATGGTTTCTAGTATCCCACACTATTTAGGGTGTGAACAGTATGCATTCAGTATTTATGCATAGTTTAGAGAGATTTTAAAATGATAGAAATACTGCTTTAATAAACTTCCTCTGGCGTTAAGAGAATAAGAATTCTTATCAGGCAGGTAAGAAAATTAACTCCATTCCTATCACCTGGCCACCTTTGCTGTCAGATGAAAGATTAGAGACAGTAGTTATCAGAGATTTGGTTGTGGATGGTTTGCCTGGTGCCTAGAAAATTCTGGTTTGGGGCCATTATTTCCAGTAGCCCCATAGTGCAAAATAGCAATCAGTTTTTCTTGCTAAAATTTTCTGGTCAGCCTTTTAAATAATTATCTATTTGGGTAGGATACATATACAGTAGTGTAAGTAGAATTTTATAGAAGCTTTCTCGTTGGAGCTAACTGTTCGGTCAGTTTGACAAAATTGGTGAGTTGTATTTCAGTAGCCAACTCACAGAACAGCTGTTGATACAGTCAGTTGTCTGAGCCAAGATCAAAGTACCAGAGCAAAACACCTTGGTTCTGACACCCTTTTTGTGATCTTCATGAAAACCTGGTTATAAATTTCTATTCCTCCCCTGGGTGTGTAGGTTATAAGAACCAATATAATACTATCCTTTCTCTTTTGAATCTCCTCTTTAGAGATAAAAGTGATGAGTTTGAAATGATCTGAAGAGATTAAACTGTGGTGTGAAATGTAAAACCTAGAAAAATCAACAGGGACACATAAGAATGTGATGTAGATATTAAAAATTGAATGGTGGAGGGCAAAGTAGGGGAGGGATTTCAGAATAACAAGTTAAGATCTAGTGACGTGGGGCCTAGTTATAGAGGACAGTAAGTGAACATCGGGCACAAGGTGCTATACCTGTTGAGTTTGGTCAAGTTGAGAGCCTAGGAAGATTGAAGTCACTATCCAGGAATGCGGTCAAAGAAATCTCCACATGGTTACTGGCAGTGAAAATGGAAAGAAAGATATCTTGGGGGGGAAGCTGTAACATTGAATATGACGTGTTAAGTGGAGGAAAAGTAAAATTTGCCAAATTATTTTCTAAAATGTTTAGTAGAAACAAGGCAGAGACATACCAGTTTGGGGGAAATACTAATTTTAGACAGTGAATTTGATGTGCATTGAAGAACAGCCAAACTGAGACAACCTTGAAGGCTATCCCAGTTAGTGGACGAGAAATGCGTTTGACACACACACACTCAGGAAGGCAAGAATTTTTCCTAGAAAATGCTTGAACTGTAAAGGCAAGGGCATATGGTCTCAGAGTTTCAGTCTCCCTCCCTTCCCTCCCCTCTCCTCCCCTCCCCTTCTCTGCCCTCCCCTCTCTTCCCTCCCTTCTCCGCCTCTCCTTCTCTGCCTCCCTGTATAAAAACTCTTAAAATACCCCCCCCAGGAGACCAGGGTTAGCTCAGTCAGTAAAGTGGTTGCTGTGCAAGCACAAAGACATGAGGGCAGATCCCCAACACCCACTTAAAAAGTAGTGCATAGCAGCATGCATGTGTGGTCCTAGAGCTGGGGAGGCAGAGAAGATAGAGGGTCTCTGACGTTTGCTGCTAGCCGTTCTAGCTGGACCATTGAGTTCCAGGTTCAGTGAGAGACCTTCTCTCAAAAAAATATATATATATATAAGTGAGAGAGATTCCTGACTTCAATTTCTAGTCTCCACATGTATGCAACACATATATACCATGCTTGGCTTCACCTTATGTTTTAAGAAAGTTTCTCACTGGACTTGGAAAAGCACATTTGACTGGACTGACTGACCAGTGAGACCCAGGCATCCTCCTTTAGCTTGGTCCTCATCACTAAGGATTATAGTCTTGTACCAGCCTGCACCACCTTTTTTACATGAATGCTGGGGATGAAACTCAGGTTTTCATGCCTTGTGCAGTTATGGATTGACCTCTCTCTCCAGCCTCCACACACACACACACACACACACACACACACACACGCATGCACACAAATTCCTATTAACTTTATCGTAAATGAAGGAACTACATTAGTTTAGATGAAATTCATAAATTATACCCGGAAAACTAAAGTTTTTCCCATACAATAAGGGCGTAGAATTCAAATTTCTTGACATGGCTAGTAATATGTAGAATGGGGGCAAAATTCATATTGTTCTGAACAGAACAGTGTCTTAGAATAAATAGACATAGCAGAATAACATGTCAAGGAGAATTCTTAAGTTTTATGTTTTTGAGACAAGACTTAGAAATTGCCATCTCTCGGGCTGGAGAGATGGTTCAGCGGTTAAGACTGCTCTTACAGAGGACGCAGGTTCAATTCCTAGCACCCACATGGCAGCTAACAACCATCTGTAACTACTGTTCCAGGGGAATTTGACACCTTCTTCTGACCTCCCTAGGCATTGCAAACATGGGTGCACTTACACACATGCAGGCAATACTCTCAGACACACAAAAATAAAAATAAAAAAGAAATTGTCATCTCCTGAGCTTGGCTGCCCTGGTTGTTAGTATTACATGGCAGCACATCTAGTCAGTAGTTTGGCCTATAAATAGAATCTCTATATACAAAGGAATGCGAGTTGTTTATTACTGGCATTCTTTGGAAAGGGTATTTCCTCCTTGCCCCATTTCACTGTAAATTACCACTAATCCCCAGGACTCTGGCAGTTAGACTGACTTTGAGTTTGTCATTCCTTTCTCCATTAATCGCCCTGTGCCTCTGACCCCTTGGTCCTCTTCTCTTTTGTCCCTCCTTGTTGCCTACTTTTTCTTTGAAAATTTTTTTCTAATACTTTATTATTTATCCTGAATTTTACATATAACTATGAGTTTATATATGAAAATTAGGTTAGTCTTCTCCAAGATATACTTCTATTTTAAATAACACATTTTTCCAACTTGGAAATTAATATATATTGAATCTCATGTTTAGAAATTTAAAAAAGAAAACGAAATTACAAAAGTCAGAAACTATCCAGAGATAATCACAGTGGTATTCTTTATCCATAAGTTCTTAAAAAATAGATCTGTGGGCCATTAAGATGGGCTCAGTAGGGGCTGGAGAGCTGGCACAATCATCAGAGGCTCAGGCTCACAACCAAAAAGACAAGATGGGTCAGTGAGTACAAGCACGATGGTGTTGGTTCTGTCACCAGAATCCGCGGTGGAAGGAGAGGACCTGCTTCCCAAGATTGTCCTGTGACCTCTACATGTGCGCCAGGAACATTTGTGCCCTCATTTTCACACATCATACACACACACACACACACAACAGCAAACTTTAAAAAGGCATGTTCATGTATATGTGTGCTTTGAAATCAGTTTGGATGTGCTATTTTATAACCTTTTTTAAAATATCATGAACATATCCCAGATAATAAGTGATCTAAAACCATGCATTCCTGTCCATGTAAGTATTTCAGAATATTTCAGCCAGTCATAACAGTTATTGCCAGTGTTTTTCTGCTATGCTGTGAATATCTTTTGTATATAAATCTTGATTCCTTATTATTATTTTCTTGGAGTAAAATTGTAATGAAGCTGAAAGTAAAAATGTTCAGTTAAAGCTTTGATACAGGGTACAAAATTAACCTTTTGAAATGCTATGGGGATTTAAAATTTCATTTTGTATTTGAAAATGCTCTTCCCAATACTCATGCTAGAGAAGTCCATTAAAATGTAAACGAAGGTCCAGTGAGAAGCCTGATGATCAATCAGAGTTTCAGACCCACTCCTGTAAGTTGTCCGCAGACCTCCAGGTGCACATCCTAATTTTCATATGAAATTAATGGAAAGGTAAAAGAAAGAAAATCAAATGTTGCCAAGTTGATAAGTAAAAATCTTGTATCACATTTTAATTTGGTATCTTTAACAAATTCTAGGAATGAGCTTATTTCAATTATTTACTGATCAAGTGTACATTTGATTTGTGGTTTTTCTAGATATGTCTTGCTATTTTCTATTGAAGTGTGTGGTTTTTTTCTTTTTCTTATAAGTTAGTCATATTAACACATTTTCATGTGTTGAAAATGTTTTACTCAACTTACTACCTTATAATTTTGCTCGGGGCCCATGTTTCATTGCGCATAAGTCTTAAAAT